CGTGCCTGCCAACCGCCATTGATCTAAACATGTTGTGCGTTCCAAGATGCTTGTCCCGGGTCTTGAAGAGGGTGATCAAAGCGGCTACGAGACATGCGATGATGGGGGCCAGCAGCGTCACCCACTGGATCATGTCTACGATCATGTTCATCGTCATGGACACCAAGGGGCCAAAGACGGAACTCATGCGCAAAATGGCCATGCATTGGGAAATGCCCAGAAAGAGGACCCCTAAGGCTTTGAACTGCTGAGCAAACTCAACCCATTCAGTCCGAATCAAAACCAGTACGCAATTCCATCCGATGCAAGTGAAGGCGAACAACTCCATCACGTTCACTCGATCCATAAACCAAAAGGCAAAAGAATTCTGTGCTCCAGCTTTGGAATTCGCAAAGCTCAAAAGCTGCGCCACCTCACCTAGCCACGCACCAGCGCTTAGGATAAGCACCAACGGCACATTGGCCTCGCTTGGCTTTTCTCCAATTAAATAAGCAGCGAATGCAAGGTTAGAGAAAATGGCCAAGCATTTCCTATAGCGTGAAATGAGGAGTGGTACACGACATTGGATGAGGAAGACTCGTTCACGGCATTCCTCACGCAAAGCATCCTCAAAGTCGTCCGAACCCCAACAGACCTTCTTTCTCTTTCCCATCTTATAAGGCCAGTCCTTATCTTTCAGACTTTGCAGGATGTTATGCCACTTTTGTTCTTCCTCGCGTCGAGCTTTTTCAGCATCGGACGCCACAGTGTCGCGAATGTGGTCCTCCACTCCAGGCGCCACTGCCCACAGAAAGACCATCACTAAGTTGGGGAAGCCATACAAGAGAAGCCGCATCCAAACCTGCAGCTGCTTGCACCAGCTTCGTTGAAAGTAGTCTGGGCGGACACCTTGCCAAACATCGAGCATGATCTGCTGCAATGAAGGGCGGGCAAAGAAGAGTCGTGCATCGCCAAGTTGGAATTGCATCAGAATCTCAAGACCAGCTTGTGTGCTCCAAAGCATCTCCTGGTCGTTTGCCCGGAGTTTCTCAACCAGGACGATGGCTGTCTGCTGTACCTCACCATGCATCCGAGCCAGACGTTCCCCCTCTTCTAGGTCCTCCTCCAAGCGAACGCGGGCTTCGGCCAAGAGGAAAATCAAGAACTCCGACGCCCTCCTCAAGGTGAGCTCTACCTTTAAGTAGAACATGCAGCAAAGTGCCTTCCGCACGTCTGTCTCAGCCCGGCTAGACAAACTCCTGAACCTTTCGGTGCCCCCTTTGATAAAGAGCTCTGCAGCTGTCTCACCTGCACTGGGGCCGTTAGGGAGGGTGATTGGGCTTTCTACAGCGGGTCAGACGATCAAACAGAATGTCGCATGCACAAGTCCGATAAGTGGTCGAAACTGGACCTCGCGATTTTCAAGAGGGACCCTTGAGCAACTACAGTTTCACCCTTCGCGGCATTGCTTAACATTGATAAGAGCAAGGATCTTGAGGTGAAACAGGCTTTGCAATGCCACCCTAGTACTTTTGCTTGTTTCGCAGTTGCTACAGAATGTCCAAGTCTGCAAGAGCTGGTCACTTCAGAGCAAGCCTGCCTGAGGCAGCTACCATGTGGAGAACGGATACTGGTGCCCAGGCCGGGAATGATGAAGGAACAACTCACAGAACAGCATGCCGGCGACGGGTAAAGTTAATTAACTGCTTCAGTGTGGTGTGGACCTTAAACTTGATGTTGCCAGAGTCACGTATGTCGGTCACCTTGTTTTGCAAACACTGGCGTTGTTGGAAGCTTCTCAATGCGTCACGACGACCCCCGTCAGGCGTGCCCCAGGGGGTATCGCGTGACATCGCGTGGACCCAGTTTACCCTTTCACGCTGGGGGCACTTGTCCCCAGTGAACGGGACCTGGTCCTAGCCCTATGCCCTATGCCCTAATGCTGTGCGCCGCGCATTCGCTTCGTGTACTGTGCCCTTTGAGCTTGCTTTCTACTAGGCGGAAGAATCTGTGGTCGGTGCACAGAATAAAACATGCCCCGCCCATGGCAATTTTCGTAGTGCCTCTTTTCCACCATTTGCCCACCACTAGCTGTCAAGGCGTGATTGCTTTATATTGTTGCTTCCATCGCTTGGCATGTATTTTTCTTTGTTTTCGCTGAATTGTTCATACTGGATCTCCGTCTTCGTGTCCATCGTCTGTCCAAATCAAGCTCTCCCCATCTACATTCCGCAGTGCTTTCCTCCATCTCACCATATTTATCTGGTCCACCTTCTAAAACATTACGTCTACCAGCAAAATCTAGAACCGTAAAGGGGTAGACCGGTAGACCAACAAACTTCCAGAATCTCTCCTTAAATTTTGCAGGTTTGGCAACGATACATTTGTCCAGCCTTACAATCTCACAAATTCGCAAACGTCTATACTATACTATATAATAACATCTAATAACCCCTTCAGCAACATGGTAGTTGCGAGGATGCGCAGGGGTTCTATGTGTTCACAGCGATTGGTCCAGCTTAACACAAGACCACACTCACAACGTCAGGCAGGAAAATGGCACCTCCGTGGTCTTCATCGTCCCGAACGACCCCCTCTTCCGCTTCTCTGAACAAGGTCCGCAAGCCGTTGAGATACTTCTCCTTCGGCTGCGCTCCACCTGCACCAGCACCGCTCTGTGTTTCCAGCAGCACCGCTCCGATCTCTTCAGTCTCAATGTCGGGCTCCGTCTCAGGGCTCTCGAGGCTTGGCATAAGCTCACAGTCCTGGCGTGAACAAGGTACACAGAATCACAACGAGCACAAGGTAGCTTCAGCAAATGGTGTATAAAATTAGGGAGTATCCTTGCATTTCTGTTGTTGGTTTGGTGAGACTTATCAGCATTCAACTTCCAAACGGAGCACCCGACAACTCCTTGAGATCCCAAGGCCTGGTGCCTGGGCTCATGTGCAAAGGGCTTGGCGAGGTCTCAGTCTCGGAGAAGATCTCCTCGCTTCCCTCAGATTCATCGGGCTGCTCGCCATTCCCAATGACCGAGGTCAAGCCAAAGTCCTCAGGGACCCCAAGATGGACAGACAAACAGCCGCAGTCAGGCCCTATTGCAGGATGTCTGAAGATCCATGACGTTTTTGCATGCGAATGAAACTAACGTTCAGGAAAATGCTATGATCATTGTATGTTCATCCTTAACACCGTTTGAGTTCCCCATGGCTTGTGACACACTTCTCATCACTTCTCCTTCTCCTCTTTCCCTTTCTTCGATCTTTTGCGTTTTTTGGATGCCTTTCTGGCCTTAGGCTTCGCCTTCGGTTCGTTGGGCTCCATCGGCCCACTCTCCTCCATTTGGAGGTGAGCTTGGCCGTTTGTATCGGTAGTGCTGCGGGCAGGGATGCAGGAGATGAACAAAACGTTTGTCAACTTAGGTGCATGGCGATGCCACCATCGTTAACTGTTAACCAATTAATCAACAAGTGAAGTGGCAACATTTTGTCAAAGGTCAACAGCAACTTGCACGAAACTAGCTGCAAGTAGATGAAAACATCAAAAACTAGGAACTAGAGCTGCAAGCTCCGAGAACTTGCACCTCACCGCGACCTTGCCCTCCCGATTCTTGCCTTGGCTGGTCAACTCAGCCTCGTAAGGCTTCGGTTTCGGACGCTAGCTTGCCAATCCGATATCGGACTGGAAGATACACTTCTCATCACACGGATGGGTCATTTGGATCGGGGTCAAATGTATGGTCAAGATATGTATAACTATTCCATATAGGTTGATGATGTGAAATTGAGTTGTCCTTTATCAGGTTTACCTGATGAAAACCTACTCCAGGACTTCAGGCTGCCTCTTCCAGTGTCAGTATTGTCATTGTGTTGACCCATGGCAACAAAACCATGGCACGTATCGCTACCGATTGTTTCCAGACTTGTTCAGAGTCTTCGACAGGGGCTGAGCTTACAACTTCTCACCCCATGTTACAATGTTTGGAGAGCCTGTTGGACGAACACCTCACAAACACCGCAGATGGGCCCCAAACAGTCTGCGCACGTGTCTGAACACAGGAACCTTCGCCCGAACAGATCTGGAAAACTCCCAAGAAGCGAAACATCAGTTCTCTCAACCCCAACGCTTGGCCGAGCGGCTCGCCCTTTCACCCACTTCTTCTGAAGCACTCTAGTTGGCCTCAGGCTCCTCCCCAACAAAACGGCACCTCTCTGCACTTCTGGGGTGCTTCGACACGGGTTCGACAGCTCAGGTATCCACTGAGGACTGAGTGCTTGGCTGCGTTATGCGAAGGAGCCGCAAGAGTGTCTCAGTCTTGTCCACACTGCCATGCTGGATTATCAAGCACCTTGCATCACCGTTGATTGATTCATTCATCATCCATCATTATCACCTTCTCCCTAACTCCCTGACCCCATCCCAATGAAGGCAAGCCCTGGACCAAGAAAAAAACATTCACAATTTTGCACAAAAAGAGTCAATGTTCCACAAAAGCCACAAAGGCACAAAAGGATCCTCCCTCTAGACTGGTCTCATATAGCAAATATGCTAAAAGGAAAGTCTGTCCTCTCTCCAGCTGCGCTTTCTTTATCCGTTTTATCGCTTTCAGGTCAAGCCGGCCGAGCTCAGGAGTTGTGTGGACACCTTGCAGGCATCACAAATGTTTTTCACACCTGCAAAGCCTGCAACATGTCTAGGCACAAGTTCCTTGGGAAAAGCTTGGCAGGTTCCGCAAAATTCCAGCTGAAGGCTTTGCCTTTGCAGCAAGGATCAAATTGAAATTGCCAGCAACTCTAAACGCAATAATAATCTACCTTCTTACCAGGAATTAACCGTGGATCATGATCGTTAGTAAGGACTCGACTTAAAAATTAACATGTGATAATGATATATTACTGTTACTGTTACTGGTAATGGGACAAGCCCAAAATATAAACAAGAATGCCCTTTGAAAGACGCGCGAATCACGAGAGGAGATGTACATGGGTCATCTGGTTTGAAGGTGATGTCTATGACTCTAATTAGCTCGTCATGGGTTGAGCTTGTCTCGCAGTGCTTCTAAGCAACGCGTCCATTTGCTCAGTCAATTTGTCGAGCTTGTTCATGGTGTCTATCTTTGTCTCTCTCAGTTCCTTATCCATCAGAAAAAGCTTCTGTGCCATCTGTTTCCGCCAGAGGTCATCTTGCACCTGTGTGTCCGAGGCGTGTTCTGAAACGAAGGATGTCACGCTCTTATAGAGAAGATCAACACAATGGTAATGATCTGTGAGTTTGCCATCTGTATCAACTCTGATCATGACTTCTCTCAAACCTGAATCTCTTTGTTGCTGCTCTTTGTGCATAGCATGAAAGCTCGAGTTGCGCAGCAAAACAGCTTGCGGGCTTGCGGTGCCATTGTTCTCAGAAAGCTCGCTCCTCTTTCTGGAGATCCACCGCCAGCAGGTGGAGCAAACCATCCAAGGCACGCCCAACATCCGCAAAATGGGTGGCACCGCTGGCTCTTCCACCATCTGCAGCAAGTTCCCAATGAAATGGTACTGAAAATCCACCATGGCCGACTCATAGATGCGATCAAAGGTCTTGGCCATCATTGCAATAAGCATGTTTAGCATGAGGATCATGATCCTTATGCGTTCAAGCTGCCCGTGCAAAAATTGTTTGACCAACAAGGAGGTCTGGAGGTTTAGATCAAAAGTGCACGCATCAAGAGGTGATTCCGATTCCTGCAAATTTATTAAATACACCACCAGGACAGCATTCGAACAATGCAAAACCCAAGCATCATCCACATGCCCAGCATCATGATGAGTGGCCCAGTGAATTCTGCTGGGGAAACGTCACATTTCCAGGAAAACTGCTGACCAATCGGGACATTGAAGAACCGGGCCAGTCCTTCGAAGTAGTCAAACTCAAACGGCAAGCACTTCCTTAGAATGAGTGCACGGCAAACTCCGTGTGATTTGCAAGCACCTCAAAGATGTGCAACATATCTGCTATAGCAGGGCAGGGACCTTCCATCTCTATCACAAAATGTTCTATATTACTTAAACTTATGATGTGTAGGATTGTCTGTCCAACGGCAATTTTAACCGATGACAAGGCAATTTGTATTACGCTGACTGCACCAAGGTTCGTGTCCTGCGTCTTGAAGAGGGTGATCAAAGCAGCTACAAGGCATCCGATGATGGGAATGAGCAGCATCCACCACTGGATCATATCTACGATCATGTTCATCGTCATGGACACCAATGGGCCGAAGACGGAACTCATGCGCAAAATGGCCATGGACTGAGAAATGCCCAGGAAGAGCACGCCTAAGGCTTTGAACTGCTGTGCGAACTCAGTCCAATCCTCCTGAATCAAAACTAGCACGCAAGTCCATCCAATACAGGTGAAGGCGACCAACTCCATCACGTTCACTCGATCCATAAACCAAAAGGCAAAAGAATTCTGTGCCCCAGCATCAGAATTCGCAAAGCTCAATAGCTGAGACACCTCACCCAGCCAGGCACCAGCACTTAGGATCAACACCAACGGCACATTGGCCTGGCGTGGCTCCTCTCCGATCAAATAAGCAGCGAATGCAAGGTTGGTGAAGATGGCCAAACATTTCCTGAAGCGTGAAATGAGCAGCGGCACACGGCATTGGACGAAGAAGACGCGCTCACGGCATTTCTCTCGCACTGCATTCTCAAAGTCTTCAGGATCCCAACATAGCTTCTTTCCCAACCTGTACGGCCAGTCTTTCTCCCCAAGATTCTTCAAGATGTTGTTCCATGTTGATGTCTCGTCTTCTCGGGCTTTTTGAGCACCGGAGATCACTCCCTCTTGAATGTGCTCTTCGAGGCCAGGTGCCACTGCCCAAAGGAAGACCATCAACAAGTTGGGCAAGCCATACAGCAGCAACCACATCCAGACCTGCAACTGCTTGCACCAGCTTCGTTGAAAGTAGTCTGGACGGACACCTTGCCAAACATCGAGCATGATCTGTTGCAATGAAGGGCGGGCAAAGAAGAGTCGTGCATCGCCAAGTTGGAACTGCATCAAGATGACGAGACCAGCTTGTGTGCTCCAAAGCATCTCCTGGTCATTCGCCCGGAGCTTCTCTACAAGCACGATGGCTGTTTGTTGCACTTCACCGTGCATTCGGGCCAAACGCTCTCCTTCCTCGAGGTCTTCCTCCAAGCGAACTCGAGCCTCGCCTAGTAAGAAAATCAAGAACTCTGACGTTCTCCTCAGGGTGAGCTCCACCCTTAAGTAGAACATGCAGCAAAGTGCCTTCCGCACATCCTTCTCGTCCCGGCGGGACAAACTTCTGAACATGTCTGCCCCCCCCTTGATGAAGAGCTCTCCAGCCGTCTCACCTGTGGTGGATACGTTGCGCAAGGTGGTCACTGGTCACATCAAGTCGTTCTATGTTGGTTATCCATCTGGCACTCCTGGATATCTCGTCCTTGTTCGCACCAAACTAAAATACCTCCTCGTGTCAAACATCCCATTGCTCAGCTCATTCTCGTTTCATTCTGGATCCCTTGTATAGCTCCGCCTACTTTTGTGCCCGCATATCTCTACAATACCTGTGTCTAGGAGTCTAGCCTATGGTAAAGGCCCTTCCCTCGATCCAGGTTTCCCACATCAACGCTCAAAATTTCTGGTTTCCGTGATCGGCACAAGAAAATACAAGAAAATTCAGTAGAATGGTGCCTCCATGGTCTTCATCGTCCCAAACGCGACCCTTCTCCACGTCTTTGAACAACTTCCGCAACTCATCGAGATCCTCTTCCTTTGACGCTCCACCTGCGATGGCCGCAGCACTGGCCGCGGGCTCCATCGGCGGGTTTGGCTCTTCGGTCTCCATCTCGGAACTCTCCAAATCAGCCAAAAGCTGACCATCCTGGTCAGGACATCTCGGGATCAGTGTAGTTTCAACAAAGGTATGGCGCTCACAACTTGACACAGAATCACAAGTATAGAAACACTTCAGCAAACGATGGATTAAGAACAATGTCCCACATCTGTTGTTGGTTGAGTGAGACTTATCAGCATTCAACTTCCAAACAGACCACCCAACAGCTCCTTGAGATCCGAAGGCCTGGTGCCTGGGCTCATGTGCAAAGGGCTTGGCGAGGTCTCAGTCTCGGTGAAGATCTCCTCGTTTCCCTCGGCTTCGTCGGGCTGCTGGCCATTCCCAATGACCGAGGTCAAGCCAAAGTCCTCAGGGACCCCCAAGATGGACAAACAGCTGCAGGCATTCAGGCCCTACTACAGGATCTTCAGAAGATCCCTGACGGTCTTTGCATGCGAATGAAACCAACGTTCGGGAAAAGGCAATGATCATTGTATCATTGTAATTTCATCCTGTCACACCGTTTGACATGTCTTGTTCGCTTCCCCATGGCTTGTGACATCTTGTGACACACTTCTCATCACTTCTCCTTCTCCTCCTTCCCTTTCTTCGATTTTTTGGATGCCTTACTGGCCTTAAGCTTCGCCTTCGGCTCCTTGGGCTCGGTCGGTCCACTCTCCTCCATTTGGAGGTGAGCGAAACGCCCTTCGTAGCTAAGCTATAGGTGCTGCGGGCAGAGATGCACATAAAACGTTTTTCAAGGATTGGTGCATGGCGGTGCCACCATCGGTAACCAATTATATAACTATATAACAAGTGCAGTGACAAAAATTTGTCAAACCATCTGCAAATAGCTGAAAACATAAAAACACTAAGAACTAGGGCTGCAAGCTCCGAGAACTTGCACTGGCACCTCACCGCGACCTTGCCCTCCCGATTCTTGCCTTGGCTGGTCCACTCAGCCTCGTAAGGCTTCGGTTTCGGATGCTAGCTTGCATCATCTTGCATCAAACTCAAAACGAAGTTCTCTTTTCTTGATCAATTTTGTGTTGTCGCTAGAACTCACGATTCTTACACTATATGCAAGCCTCGATTTGGAAAGTGAACTACAATCAAGAAGTGAAACATAGTGCAATATTGTGTTTACATCTGTGCTTCGCAACCTTCAACCTGGCCACGGTCCCAGGCACTCAGCCGGCAGGAAGCTGACGCAATGGAGGAGTGCAGGGTCGCGGCGCTCTGAAAGCCACACTGCATCCTGCGTCCGAGAAACCCAGGATTGCCATTTAAGTCACCAATTGAAAACAAGGATCCCGCCAAAATCATACCGCATCGTTGGATGAGTTTACTGTGTATACTGCATATAATATATATATATAGGTAAGTTATGATTATATCTTTATGGTTCTATATGTATAAGATGTTTCCATATTAATAACATATCATATCATACAGTAAGTAAGTGTTATCACAGCATCATTGTAAGCACGGCCAGTTTGTTCTCACATCCAACATTGACCAAAAGCACTCCGGGGATGTGTTTGCAAAGGAGTCTAATCAAAGAAAAAATCCTCCGTTTTATCCCCGGACGCCCTCGCAATGCCCAAGTCTGGTGACGTGGCCCGGTGACGTCAACACCCCTCTCACCTCGGGACCGAGGTGCAGTGGTCACTGGGCGTCTCGCCATCGGAGGTTCTCCTGGCAGAGCCAAGGTCCGTGACGAAGTGGAGTGGCGAAGCGGTTGTCATTCGCACCGGAAGGTCCCAATTGAAGGGGTGGAGGTGGAGGTTTGGTGGATCCAACCGCAATGACCAGTGGAAATGGCGCTAGGCCTAGCAGTGAAAAGAAGCGGAACATTGATGGCCGCATGGTTGGGCTGCACCCCATCAAGCAGTCAGCAACTCAAGTTCATCAGTAGTTTTCGGGCGCCTGCGGGACTGTTAGCCTAGCGGCCTAGCTTCTTGGCTTGGTGACACAATTCCGCAGGTGCTTTCAGGGCACGGGCAACACGTTGCAATCACAATGCAAAGTCTGCCCGAGGTCTGGGCACCACCATAACGATAAAAGGAAAACGCATGGAAAAACTAGGCAGCTAGGCATGTCTGCTGCAGGCTTTGCCGTTGCAGAACAAGACAGATTGTACTTGGGTTGGTCTTAGTGTAAGCCGGTTGGGAGCATAGTCCCCTCTACGGCGGAATCTAAAGAGATGCTAATATGTGCTAATATGCAGGTCATCTCTAATCCGAGCGGGTGCGATCTTTGAGATGCCTTGCGGCCTCCGACTTCCTGGCCTTCTTGCTATCCGGAAGTAGAGCCTCCAAAGTCTGGGTCAATGTGTCGAGTTTGGTCGTCAAGGCATCCACCTTCGTCTCCAGCTTCATGTCCACCGAACAAATCTTTTGCGCCATCTGCTTCCGCCAAAGGTCGTCTTGCACCTGTGTGTCTGAGGCATGTTCTGAGATGAAGGAGGTCACGCTCTTGTAGAGAAGATCGATGCACTGGTCATGATCTGTGGGTCTGCCATCTTCGTCCCCTCTGATCTTTACTTCTCCCGAAACTGCATCTCTTTGCTGCTGTTCTCGGTGCATGGCATGAAAGCTCGACAAGCGCAACCAAACCTCTGAGTTGCTCTCATTCTGCGTCGTCCATATCTTCTTGGTGATCTGCTCACGACTGCCCTTGGTCCACCGCCATAAGGTGCAGCACATCATCCAAGGTAACCCCAAGGTCCGCAAAACAGGCGGCACGGACGGTTCTTCCACCATCTGCAGCAAGCTCCCGATAAATTGGTACTGAAAGTCCACCATGGCAGATTCGTAGATGCGATCAAAGGTCTTGGCCATCATTGCGATGAGCATGTTTAGCATCAAGATCTGAATCCTGATGTTGAGGCGTGCACATCTAAGAAACAAAACGTCTAAGAACCCAAAGAATGAATACAACAAATGCAAAACAAAACCAGTGAAGCGACCCAGGAGCATCCACATACCCGAAATCATAATGAGCGGCCCGGTGACCGTGTGAGGCGACTTCTCCGGATCTCGGAGGCATTCAAATTCCAGATCCTGGCCGATTTGGACCTCGAAGAAGGCGACAACTCCCCTCAAGTAGTTGGATCCAAATGGCAGGCAATCGCTCCTTGGAATAGGCACGACACGTTTGAAACAGTGGCTAAATTGATACAACCTGAAGACTCCACGGTCTGATCTCCAGACATGAATACGACAAGACTATCATGATGGCTCCAGTGGCAGTTGAGAAAGTATTGAAAGATACTATGATATCGGCTCCAGGCGTCTCCTGTTTCGTCTTAAAGAGGGTGATCAAAGCGGCTACGAGACATGCGATGATGGGGGCCAGCAGCGTCACCCACTGGATCATGTCTACGATCATGTTCATCGTCATGGACACCAAGGGGCCAAAGACGGAACTCATGCGCAACATGGCCATGCATTGGGAAATGCCCAGGAAGAGGACCCCTAAGGCTTTGAACTGCTGAGCAAACTCAATCCAATCCTGCTGAATCAAGCACAGCACGCTCGCCCATGCAATGCAAGTGAAGGCGATCAACTCCATCACGTTCACTCGATCCATAAACCAAAAGGAGAAAGAATTCTGCGCTCCAGCCTTGGAATTTGCAAAGCTTAAAAGCTGCGCCACCTCGCCTAGCCAGGCACCAGCGCTCAGGATGAGCACAGCCACTGCGTTAGCTTCATCGGGTGTTTCTCCGATCAAGTAAGCAGCAAATGCAAGGTTGGTCAGAATGGCTAAATACTTCTTATAGCGCGGTATGAGGAGTGGAAGGCGGCATTGAACCAAAAAGACTTGCTCACGACATTCCTCTCGGATCGCTTTATTGAATTGAGCAAGGTCCCAGCACTTTTTTTGCCTCTTGCTCTTTGCGCCTGCATAAGGCCACTCCAAACAGACCGCCTGCTTCTTGCTTTCCACGGTATAGGGCCAGTTGGACTTAGGCCACTTCTCAAGGGTCTCCCTGATCTTGTGCCAGCTTTTCTCTTCTTCTTGTCGTGCGGCGTCCGCGCGCGAGATCGTTTGGGTGTGCATGTATTGCTCAAATTCAGGTGCCACTGCCCACAGAAAGACCATCACTAAGTTGGGTATGCCATACATGAGCAGCCACATCCAAACCTGCAACTGCTTGCACCAGCTTCGTTGAAAGTAGTCTGGACGGACACCTTGCCAAACATCGAGCATGATCTGCTGCAATGAAGGGCGGGCAAAGAAGAGTCGTGCATCACCAAGTTGGAATTTCATCAGGATCTCAAGACCGGCTTGTGTGCTCCAAAGCATCTCCTGGTCGTTTGCCCGGAGTTTCTCAACAAGGACGATGGCTGTCTGCTGTACTTCACCATGCATCCGAGCCAGACGTTCCCCTTCTTCTAGGTCCTCCTCCAAGCGAACGCGGGCTTCGGCCAAGAGGAAAATCAAGAACTCTGACGTTCTCCTCAGTGTGAGTTCCACCCTGAAGTAAAACATGCAGCAAAGCGCCTGCCGCACGTCTATCTCAGCTCGGCTAGACAAACTCCTGAACCTTTCGGTGCCCCCTTTGATAAAGAGCTCTGCAGCTGTCTCACCTGCACTGGGGCTGTTGGGGGAGGTGGTTGCACCGGTTTCTCTAAGGCCGTTGCGTAGGGTTGCTACGAGGGCCAAGAATGGTCATACGGAATGTGGCCTGCAAAAGTCCGATAATTGGTCGAAACTGTGGTGGCTTACTCAGCAAGGCCCTTAAAAGACGGTGTAGCGCGAACCACCACGAGCAGCAGAACCTGCCCACAATGTTCAGGCCCAATGGGGCGATGGAAACGGACTTCTGACTCAGCCGTAATAAATATGCACATGTACATGCATGTGCATATTTAAATGCATGTGTGCAATTGTTTATGATTGTTTATGTATATGTGTGTGTAAATGTACATATGTGTATATGTATGTATATGCAATATGTACTTGTACATATACGTACTTGTATGTGTCTGTATCTGAATGTGTCTATGTGATTCTATGTGTATATGTGTATGCGTATGTGTGTGTATGTATCTGTGCACGTATGTGCGTGTGTGTATGTATGTATCTGTGTAGGTGTGTGTCCATGTAAGTCTAATTGTATAAAGATATATATATATATACATACCTGAGAAGTGGGGGACGAAAGCCAGCAGCCGCCAGACCAGTGCGCGCGTCGCGGCACAAGTCACATGGTCGACAGCTTGCGAGTCAGCGGTGCCGCGGATGCGCGGTTGGGTATGTAATGATAATGGTGATGGAGGGAGCAGGGAAGCAAGCCGGGCGGCTTCGGGATAAGTTTGGTATGAAAGAAGTAGTGAAAGAGAAATGCGATACGTTGAATGTTGGTGTAGGCCATCATCACAAGGCAATGGTATGTGTTTGTCACATGCAGGAAGGTATGCATCTTATGGAAGTTGGAAGGCGAAATAAGGATTAGCGAAGGGGAAATACTGTCTGAGTTCGAGTGGTGGGATACCACGCGTCCCGCCGCGCGCCCGACATGCGTTTGAAAAGAATGCGTTTGCTACAGTGGTTGAAGTTTGCAATGCGTCCGGCGCGTCGAAAAGCCGCATGCGTGGATTCGGACGAGTGAACGGGCACGTCTTAACCGGGACACGGACGTTTATAGCCCCGCGGCACAGAAGGGGAGGTCCAGCGGGAGTAGCTTGGGCTAGCAAAGGAGTGAGGATTTGCGTTAAGCTGTCGTAGCGTAGTATCCAGGGAGCGGAGGGTGGCCTGCTCTTTCTGAATGAAGAGGTGCCCGAATATATTCGGGGCGCGGCTGCGAGAGGAGTTTGCGATCAGGTAGTCGAAGGAGAAGAAGATCTTCAAAGCTTGGGACCCGGCTGAGCAAGACGAAGCAGGCGATCCAATAGTCTTCGTGCCGGCAGTTTTGTTGGAAGTTGAATGTGCATGGACAACAGGCTCAAACGAATAGTAAGCAAGCGGCTTTCAATAGAAATTCAGCATGGAAAGTAGTGGGGTGAAGAAACAGTGCCATACAGGTCCAAGTGTCCGGGCTCATAGCGGGGGGCTTACATTTTTCGGTGTGTGTGGACGCCGCGAGAAGCAGTCACTTGACCGAGGACATGGTGCAAGTATAGTGTTTGCTAGGGGGCAGGAACCCTATACGGATATGTAGTCAACCTCGCAGGCACCCCCACCGAGCCTCAATCCAAATTCATGGGCTTGAACTCGTGTCACTTTCGGTTCTCTATGGATTTGGCGGGTTGCGGGTTGTCCAGTGAACTCGAACCCTACGTGCGGCTGCGGTCTGCTCTGTACGTTGGCCCCTGTCTGTCCAAGTAGCCTCCAAATCCTTCATTATGCAAATGATGCACTACTCGGCGTCCATTGCATCCATCACTCGCATCACCAGACCCAATTTTCACTGCTTTTCTGACCCTTGGGTTCACCCTCTCGACCACCCCCCAACACCCCCTTAACTGACTTCGTTCGCTCTAAAAAGCTCAAGCCCAGCCTATCGGCTGGCTCTCGTAATATAAGCATGCGCCCCACATCACTACGGTAGTTGTGAGGGTGTGCAAGAGTTCAATGTGTTCCCGGGGATTTGGTCCATTATTTAACATGGCTAGCACAAGGCCACACCCGCAATGTTGGGCAAGACCATGGCACCTTCGCAGTCTTCTTCTTCCCAAACAACGGTCCCCTTTTCCGCTTCTCCGAGCAACGTCCGCAACGTGTCGAGATCCTCATGCTTTGACGCTCCTGCCGTGGCCTCTCCTTCGTGGGCCACAGGTTCTGTCTCGGAACTCCCATGCCCGAAGAGCGCACGGTCCTGGCGTGGCCCAGGACGAACGAACCAGGTAGAGATCGTATGTTTTCTTGCAATCAAGGCATGAAATCCGAACTTCACACAGAATCACAACCAGTACAATGTAGTAGGTAGCTTCAGCAAATGGTGGCATACTTACACGTATAAAATTGGGGTCGCACTTCTGCCGTGGGTTTTGTGAAGCTGGTCACATGCAGTTTTGGCTCCTTAAGATCTGCAGGCCTGGAGCCTGGGCCCATATGCAAAGGGCTTGGAGAGGTCTCAGCCTCTGTGGATATCTCCTCGCTTCCCTCAGCTTCGTCAGGCTGTTCGCCATTCCCAGTGACTGAGGTTAGCCCACTGTCCTCAGGGACGCAAAGATAGACAAAAGCTGCAGTAGGCCTTGGAGGATTTCTGAACTTGAGTGAAATGGTGCATGTCAAACGCACGTTTGCGAACCACATCATCTTGAAATGTCTTGGGCTTTTCATGGTTCCCCTGTTCTCCTTCTCCGTCCTTCTCTTTGATTTTTTGAAGACCTTCTTAACCTTATGCTTTGCCTTTGGTTCCTTTGGCTCCTTCGGCGATCGACTCTCCTCCATCCGGTCCGGTCCAGTCTCCTCCATCAAAAGCTAGCTCGGCCGTTTTTGAAGCTCACATGTGCCGCAGGGATGCACAAACATTGCCATGTAACTACTGAGGACACATGGCGTGGCATAGCCGCTGGCATCAGTGGTGGACAGCGAAACCGTTTGTTTATTGTAACTCTCTCTCTCTCTCTCGCTCGCTCTGGCGGGCATGACTCGTCCCGGAGTCGTCTCACAGAGATGCCCAATAGCTGTAAGTAGCTGAAAGTCCAGAATCAAAAACTAGGATGCAAGTTCCACGAATTGCACCCCAGTCGCCCTCCCAATTCCTGCCTTCGCTTGTCTCAGCCTCACAAGGTGCAGCTGGCATCATCTCAAATCAATTGTCTTGATCAATATGATGTCACGGGGAATGGTCTTAATCCTTGCCTGCCACAAAAGCTCGAAATCGGCAGTGCTGGTGCCAGTGCGCCAACATCGCAGCTGGAGGTTCCCAGCCTTATAGACGCAATCGCGTTGATGGGCCATGGCACACTCAATGCCCCACGTGCGCACCATAACTCGAGTACTGTGCAATTCCTTCACCAACCGGGATACCTTGCTCAGACTTGATTATAATTAGATGAATCATTCAACAACTGAAATTCGTTCAAAAAGCAACGATTCGCACAAAAGTCACAACATGTCACACCTTCCTGGCACGCTGATCTATGGACCACTGGCTCTGCTTATGGGAGTTGTATGTATATATATATATATTAGGTCTGGCTTGACATTGTTGCAACCAAGTGCAGCCCCAGTGTATCACGGCATACTCGTTAGCATTACGTTCGCCGGACCCAGGCTAACTCTGAGAATCTTGGAAATAAAAAACCAACAAACAATCCCCTACTTTCTGCTGTTCTTGGTGGGCGGGGCCTTGCCTTGGCGGCTTGCTGCGGTCACCTGTGGCTGTGGAGGCTGGACGCGCCCCTGCTTACTTCTGCTGGTGGTGGGGGGTGCCTTGCCTTCGCAGAATGCCCTCTGGTGGCTGCGCTCCCTTGCTCTGGCGCCACTTTTTTGCTTTTTGGATCCCGCTTCAAATACCCATGGAGAGGTTGGGCCGCTCATTCTATAGAAATGATTTGCGGGAGCCAGAGTTTTGGCATTATACAATGCAAGTGCTCGAGGACACTCACTATAGAATGCAAGGACTGAAACAAAGATTGAGAAACGACAAAGTGCACTACAAAATGGAGGGTCTAACCTCAAGCTCTGAACAATGAGTCATCTATAAACTCTGGTTTTTCATTTTGTAGTGCACCCACTGGTGACTTCCAAAATTGACAACCAAAGGATGGGCACTGTCATTCTGTAGAAGTATATTGTTTTATAAGTATGGGCGTGCTTCCAACATGTGACAAAAATTCTTTATACAAAGTGCAGGTGGCCCGAGAACAATTCTTCATTCCCGGGAATGAAACCTCGCTTTTATATAGATTGCAAGGCCCCACCCCCTCCCAGGGAGCCAAAAAATAAACTAAAATGCAGAATTGTAGTGGCCCTAAGGCCATCCATTCTGTAGTGTTTTTTCCAAGGGGGATCTTTTTGGTGATGGCGTCCTATTTTTCAATGTTTTTTATGTATTACTTTTTGTTTTTCAACTGTTTGTGTCGCTTTTCTTTCGCTCTGCTTTTCGTGTTTTTTTTCATAGTGTGTGTTTGTTGTTTTCGCTTTTTTGCTTGCCATTTTGTGGTTTCGCGTTTTTTTGCGCTTGTTTTTTCGCTTTTCGCCTTGGCGCCTTTTGGGGGTGGTCCGGGCGTGGGGCGGGGACCTCTCACGACGACTTTTTGGTGTCCTGCCGGGGCTGGGTTGGCCGTCGCGCCAGGCAGCAGGCTAGCAAAAACAGCCTGCTTCTGACCTGTGGCATGCTGTTTAAAGGCCGGAAAACAAGCTAGCAGCGGCCAGCTAGCGGCTAGCTGTGCCCATTGCTTGGCCGCTTGGCCTATTAAAAAGGCGCGCAGCGGCAACATAGAAGCACATACTATATGCACTACATGCGCACACAAATGCCCCAACAGTCTGCAGTCCGCAAATATGCTGCCTTGACTCAAGTCGGTCCAGGCGATAGTGCCTAGCTTCGGAAACAGCTTTGCTTTTTCATTTACTTTGTTTTTGCTTTTTGGCGTTGGATATTAGTATCCATGAAGGTCGCCAAGTTGATGTTGGGAACGAACTCATGGGATTTGCTGCTCTCGTCATACTCGAGGTAGCACTGAGCGGTGGTCTTGCTGTTTTGGAACATATTTTGGAGCTCCTTGAGCTTCGAAGTAAGCATGCACAAGCCCCGAGTGTGTGGCAGACTTCGTTGATGAACTGGTTGAGGTGCGCGGGACTCTTCCATGATCTGAAAGTCATGCAGGGAAACTACGGGGCGAAGAGTGCGAAACCCACAAATCTACTGATAGCGGGCCTGTCGTCTGATACAACATCAGAGGTAGAAGTCGCTAGCAGAACAACGAGGTTCACCTATTCAGCTTCGATCCGATTGAGTGGTGGGGCTGGGCCACTAGCTCCTTGAAAAAGTATCCGAAAGCGTTTTGCTTTTTCTTGGCGAAGCTGTTCGATTATTGGCTGAAAGGTGCAAGCCTCCAGTCAGGTAACCCTTCTAGTGACGCAGCGTGGCTAAAAGCTATGCATGTGTCGCATGTAGAGCAGCACAGTAGAGAGGGGCCTGACTATCACCCGCGATTAATTCAGAATTCAACTCGGCAAGGCGCTGAGTCTACGGACCCTGTGCGCGAATAGAAAGAAAGAAAAAGTTGGTGTTTTTTGCTTTTGCTGTCAGTTAGTTTTTGTTTTTTGGCGTTGTTTTTTTGGTTTGTCCTTTTTCATTTACTCTTTTTTGCTTTTTGGTGTGGCTTTTTTTTGCTTTGCTTTTTCATTTGCGTTTTTTGTTGTTTGGCTTTGTTTGTGTTTTTAGTGCTATTTTGCTGTTTAATTTGTGTTTCTTGCTTTTTGGATTTGCTTTTTTGGCTGTTGCTTTTTCATTTGCTTTTTTGGAGGTTGCTTTTTTCATTTGTTTTTTCTTTGTGGATTTGTGCTCTTTTGCTTTTGCATTTAGTATAGTTGTTTTTGGCTTTTTGCAAAACCATCAGAGTTATGCTAGATGGTTGACATAACGTTAACATGGCCATTGCCGTCGCACAGCCAGCATTGACCAATCTTTTGGCGTATTTCACAAGAACACTTGTCAAAGAAAAACACACAAATCATTGATCCTTTGATACTTCACTGCTTCACCAATCATCTTCTCATTTGGATCCTTTGCTTTTTTTGCTCTGCTTCCAACTTGTGCTGTGGATTGTGCGGCCCATCCAAGTCTTCAACAGGTGGCAACCGTGGCGTCTAGACGCCGAGCGCTTCACCTCGTAAGCAGGGCCACCAAGCTGCCATCTCACAAACTTCGCGAGACCCTGACCATCCTTGCAGGGCAGAAGAAACTCCGGAGATGCATACTACTGTCCTTACACTGACACATGACGGGATGGAGGAAATCAATACTCATCCCAGGTTTGGTGGATCCATGTAGGACAAAACCGCAATGCCCAGTGGAATGGTACTAGGCCAAGCGCTTCGAGAAGCTAAACATTGACAAAGGCGTACGTGCCCATGGCTGGACTAAACCTCATGAAGAAAGTGCAGTCAGTCGGGAACTCAAGTTCATCAGCAGTTTTTGGTCTTTAGTGAGTCTATTTAGCCTAGCCTAGCTGCTTGGCTTGGTGAAACAATTCCAAAGGCGCTTTCAGGGCAAGGGCAGCATGTTGCAGTCAGAATGCAAAAAGCCTGCCCGAGGCCTGGGCACCATCATAACGGTAAGCAAAAAATGCCAAAAGCATGGAAAAGCTCTCTCTGCTGCAGGCTTGGCCATTACAGGACAGGAGAGTCCTGGGTTAAACCTATACAAGTTGGGAGCGTCGTCCCCACTAGACTACTGAAATTGTTTAGATATCACGTCCTTCTTCAAGGAGGTGTCAATGTATATGCGGTGTCGATGAACTAGCCCCAAGAGGTGGTATCTTTCTGAACTCCCTCCACGTCAGGCTTACTCTGCAGGCTAGAATCCGCAGAATTTCCGGTCAGCTTTTGGAGCGATTGTTCAATGCTCTTCATGTTCTTTGACATTTCATCAAGCTGTGTTCTCAAAGTATCCACCTTGGTCTCTAGCTTGATATCCATCAAGAAAAGCTTCTGTGCCATTTGCTTCCGCCAAAGATCGTCTTGCACCTGCGTGTCAGAGGCATGCTCCGAGATAAACTCGGTCACAAAGGCGTAGAGCATCTTGATGCAATCTTCATGTGTAAGATTCTTGTCAAGAAATCTGAGTTTCATTGCTTTCAGAATATCTGCTTCTTTATCTTCTCTTTCCTGCAGCTCTTTCTGCATATCATGAAAGCTCGACTCGCGCAACTTTACTTTTTGTTGCGCCTTCTGTGTTGTGCCAATTTTCTCAGAAAGCTTGCTGCCTCTTTGGTAAATCCACCACCAGCAGGTGGAGCAAATCCTCCAAGGCACCCCCAAAGTCCGCAAGATGGGCGGCACCGCAGGCTCTTCGATCATCTGCAGCAAATTCCCGATGAAATGATACTGAAAATCCACCATGGCAGATTCGTAGATGCGATCAAAGGTCTTCGCCATCATGGCAATGAGCATGTTCAGCATGAGGATCATGATCCTGATGCGTTCATGCAGCCCCTTCAGAAACAATATATAACAATCTCAACCAACATAACCAACCGAATGGGAGATTTGGAGGTCTGGCCCCCCTACCAGCACATCCTACATCAATCACGATACAATTTTGCATCACAAATGACGCCCAAGCGTCATCCACATCCCCAGCATCATGATGAGTGGCCCAGTGAATTGGGCAGGCGATTCAGCACCACGCAGGCACTCTAAAGAGTCTTGCAGCATCTCGCCGCCGATTTGGGCTTCGAAGAACCTGACCACTCCCTTCAGATAGTCGAAGCCAAAGGGCACGCAGCTCCTTGGAATCC